AGATTGTCTGCTAGCACTGTCCAGATGTAGTCGACTTCGTTGAATTTCTGCAGGTTGGCAAACAATTCGTCTGCAGCGCCGGCGAAGAAACTGGCAACGGAGACAACAAGGAAGACTTGGACAAAGAGAAACATGAAGTAGAATCGCTGTACGAATTCCGTCTTCTGTGCGCCCGTCTTAGCACCCTTGAAGTCGGCGAGCAAATCCAGTAGGATGGGGACCAGAATGAGAACAAGGGCAAGGATGAGAGGCGGAAGAATACCAGCGATACCGCCGGCGATCTGGTAAACCGTGTTGTTATTCTCGATCCACCGGAGCCATGATATGGAAGTGAGCTTATCAATGTTGGCAAGCGCAGCCGTCCAAGCAACTGGGACAGCCCAGAAGATGACCATGGCCGTGATGAGCAAGGTGACAGCTCCGGTTCGGAACCACTCGTCCCACCACTTGATCGCCATGTTGCTCCATATGACATCGTTGGGCGAGACTTCGTTGACGCGGGGTGCCATTTGCTTGGGCAGATGGTGAATCAGACTTTGGCAGGCCATGTGAGCCGAGATTTGCTCATTAAACTGAATGAACGCTGAATTCATGAGTGGATAGCGCTCAGGGTGCGCTTGATCTTCCCGAATCTCCAGGTTGAGACGCGCAAGCTCCGTTCGGCACCAGTAGATTGTGTCGACCTTTTTGCCAAAGGTAAGCCATGCAAGCCAAGTGGGAAACCCCCATCGCGGGAGACGATGCCTGGGTCGCTTGCTGGGCTTGATGTATTTGCGCCAAGCAGCATCCGGTTCGCCAAGGCCATCGGTGGCCTCGTAGTCTTTGCCAGAGTACGAAGCAGGGTCGTACTCAATGGCGGGCAATTCGTCATCACCCATTCCTGGGATCCATGATTTGACGCGCTCAGCGAAAGTTTTGGGGGTCTTCTTCTGACCAAATGGAAATTCGGACCCCTCTTGCATTTGAGGGACAGGCGACGCGAATCCGCCGGGAGGAGCTCGCCAGAACTGATACCATTGCCGCTTCTCATTGTCGTATAGGTTGTTCAGGTTACTGACCTTGCGGATAGTGTTCCCGTTTGCAGTAGTGTCATAGTTGGAGAAGGCCTTGACAATCTGTGACGTATCCGATGCATCGCGCGAATGAGTGCTGTGCACTCTCTCAGCCGCATCTGTTGTCCTCGAGTGGCACTCAGCGCTGTCGGTAGTTCCTGGTCGAACGTTCTCTTCCCTCACAGCCTGGATGCGTGCGTGGTCGGCAGAGCCTCGGGTGTATGTGGCATGTTCGCCGGCGCCCGGTGAATTGATTCTCATGAAGCCATTGGTGGTATTGACACCGTCTTCAACATCATGGCCGAGCGCCTTGAAGCCCATACCGGCCTTGCCCACACCACCACGGAGGCCTTGCCCAACCTTCTCCAGGCCGCCGCTTAGCAAACCGAAGCCAAAGCTCCCGTTCTCGGTCTCACGCTCTGGCCTGTCTCCCCCGTCGTCAATGTGGACATGGCTGTTTCGTCGGTTTCCGCTCTGCTGGTGCTGATCGACCGCTTCACTGACGTCATGTGGCACTTCTTCGTGCGCGCCAGAACTCACGCCCTGTCCCGCTTCAGCCATTTGATGCGCTGCGGCGTCTTCTTGTTTGCGTCTGAGCTCCATGTCGGCCTTGGTGGGCGCCTTGCCATGAGATGCCTTGCGGGCTTTTTTCTCGTCCTTTTTCCTCTGCTTGAGTTGATTCTTCTTGGCCATCTTGATGAGGTCCGTTTCTGCCGACTCGAGCTGTCGGTGAATCTGAGTACGAAGCTCGATCTTCTCCAGGAGCTGGCCCAAGTCTCTGTTGAGCCAGACATTGCGGATACCGCCCGGAAAGACGTCAAACAGACCCCTGATACCTTCTTCAGTGAGCCATTTTGGGGGCACGTTGTTGACGAGGACAGTTGTGGCGGAAGCACGGAGGCGATGTTCAGCACTTGTCAAGTGATCTTGGCGAATCTTGATGTAGACGCGGAGTTCGAAGTAGAAGACGACGCATACCCAGGAAATGACCAAAATTGCCATGATCAGATGGGCCCAGTACCGACTTGAATTCTCGCGTGAAATGTTGGACATGGTGAGAGTGTCAAGACCTCGCGGGGGGCCGGTTTGTCTGTTGTTGCTGCTCGTGCTGTTCTGCCCCTTCGGACGGCCGCCAATGACGTCTTGGCCCTCGCCACCGATGTAGTTGATGGGAACGAGAATGGGTATCAGAATACACATCATGGGGACGAAGATGATGAGCAACGTCTTGAGAAATCGTAGGAAGAAGTAGGCGTCTAAGCCGCACCGTCTGATAATGTCGCGGTCGCTGAAGGTCCATAACGTTTTGATGAGTTGTACAGGATTCCGTGGCGGTGGGTCTGTTCGTTCGCGCTCGGGGGCGAGATATGTTTTCGGTTTGCTACCATGCCGTCAGTTAGCATATGGACCGTTCACCAGGGTGAGAGAAAGAGGACTGACAAGATGCGGGCGAGTCTATTCCGTAATAGGAGAAAGATGCTGATTTGGACGGCGAAAATGATCACGGAGGCCGCCAAGGCTGCCAGGAAAGCATTGAGTCCTGTGCCAGCTCTTGATTCGGCGCTGCCAGGCGCGCCCTGGGATGGCTCGTCCGCCATGATCGCTGCAGGAGACAAACCCCAGGGTCAAGCAGATCTTGCTCTAACCTGGTTGACGGGCTTTGCGATGCTATCGTTGGAAAGGGTGAAGAATGTCGACTGTGTCCTAGTATTTGTGGGTTGTCGTGAGCCTGCTGAGCCAGGAGCGTGTTCGGAGGCGGCCAAAGGTAGCGGAAACGAGTATCGTGCCGTCGATTCTTTTTCTCAAGGTAGGTAGGTGGGTGGGTGTCTATACACTCCGAGAGAGTGGCCGTGTGCCAATGGACCACCGAGTACAAATGCCTTGAAAACACAATGATCGCTAAAAGAGAGAAACAAGGTCGACGATCTGGGTGGTGGGTGTGGGGAGAAAGAGGGAGCCAAAATGTAGGAAAGGTGGAGTTTCATAGGGACGGAGGGAGTTCAAGAGGGGATCGTCGTCACCGGCGGCCAGTTCGTCATTCCCCAGGCCTCTTCGAAGGCATGGATGGCACAGAGCTTCTGGCGATGCGGTGCTCCTTTGCCTGTGAGCCAGACATATCTACCGTAGACAGACCGTGAAGGAACCCACTGAATCGTCGCGCCGGGTGCTCTTGGTCTTTTGGGTAGTGTATCTGGGCACATTGATTGGCCATCCGACGCGACATGGACCAAATCTTGGAAAGAACAACTGGGGTCAGTGACATCAGCGGCTTCATTGGCCCTGGAGACGTTTGTCCGAAACAGGCCCCTGCCCCTGGCACTGCACCCTTTGGCCTGCACAGCGCCCTCCGTACCCTTTTGGTTCGTCAAAGACCTGGGCTTTACTAGCCGCCATCATTGCCTTCGCTGGACACAAGCCAGCTTGAGGCCGCCACCCTTTGACGACCTGAAATAGATCCGGCGCGCGCTTCTTTCAAATTCAAGATTCGACCTTGACAGGTCTAGAACCAGTTTTGCCCGCCCAAAATACTACCCTGGTGGCGCCCGCCAGAGTCCCATGTCAGGCCTGTCAGGCGTGCTAGGTCAGTGAATCGCCACGTCTTCAGGACCCCTGCCGACCTCAAGTTGAAGCAAAAGCCAGGCGACGCGCTGGTGGTGGAACCTCACAGCAGACATGGTCGTATCGTCTCCGAACCCGAGATAAGTGGATATCAAATAGGCTAGCGAGATGGCATCGCCCGCCGTGCCCGCCCGCGCTTCCGTTCCAACCCCCTCGCTCCCTGGTTTGACTTTTCGCTTGCCGACTCAGTGCTGAGGAGGACTGCCAGTCGGGAGATTGGACAGCTGTACTCACTGACCAAGACAATCCGTCAGGAAAAGAAATATCGCGTGTTGCTCAGCAAGAAACGCTTCTGGGTCACTGTCGTCCGCTGGTACCGTTCATACAGACACTGATCAGCCACTCTAGCAGCAATCAGGGTGGTGTCACTTGATGCTGCTTGAATGGCCACATTCCTAACGCCCCTTCGGCATCTCAGGGCCGCTCAGGCATGTTGATGCGCACCATGACGCCAACGCTCGTTGCTCGGAAGGACTGCTGCATCTCGCTGTAGGCAAGGAGCACCGTGATCTAGCTCTGGGTGGGGGTGTGTCTCTTTGAATATCATTGCGCTCATGTACGATGTGTATCAACGGCTGGGACGATTACGTGACACACGTATTGCCCCAAGCTGTGTTGTCTAGAAACATGGTGCTCTGAGAATCCTCATCGTCAATCATCTTCATCACGATGTCGCAATAGACAATCTACGCCAAAGAGGTACACAAATATGCAGCCCAAATCGGGTAGAATGCTACCAGTCCCAGATCGCTGTGTGGATTGGCATCCTTTCCACTGGTCATTCCGCGCCTTCACATGACGATTGCAGTGTATTAGGTCAGCAAATGCCAAGTCTCTACCGACCTCAGCGTGGCGTGGCGGGGAACAGCTGACCCTCCACCACGTCGCCGTCGCCAACATGCATGTGAGGACGTATCTATTGACACAGATACATCGTTATTGTGTACGAGGAGATCCACAACTCCCCTCTCGGCTAGCAGTACTTAAAACTTGGCTGATGGCTCAAAGAGTAGTCAGATTACGTGGCTGATTCCCATATAATATAGCTTTGTATCGAAACAAGTTCGCGGCGTTCCGTATTGTAGCACGCTCTCGAACGGAACCCAAACGCCATGTTCGAAACCTCGATCACTATTTCCAGATCGGTTTCCGGTCTCGTGAGTGACTGTAGCAGCTGGCAGATGTATTTCTTCTCGAAAACAAAAAGATCTTGAAATATAAGGGTTTGTCACCGCTGACCACCACGGCCACAGATCAGAAAGGCCAACAACCTTTCTGAAACCTCGCGGCCCCCCAGCGCAAGCTGCCACACACCGGTGGTCCGCGAAGAAATCAAAACAGAGTATCATACTTGCACATATCCATATGAAGTGGTTGACAAACAAGGGTATGGAATTATTTGCCGAAGGGCTCGGCGGGCCACTTGCAGGCGCGAAGATGTGTAATACTTCCTCCAACGCGCGCCCTGCAACGATTACAACCAAGCCTACGCGGAAAAAGAAAAAAAAGGTCATCCTACACAGCGCCTCCCTAGGGACAGTGAACCGTCGTGCTGAGGCTCTATCCACATGCGCGAAATGTTCAGTAGCAGCTTCCTCTCTGCTTGCTCCAATTCCCCTCGCTTCTGCCTGCTCCTTTCTGTATTGTACCGCGCAAATATTGCAAATCCTTGACGCCGGTGGACCGAAAGCAGAAAAGAAACAAGTTGTAACTGATGGTCCCCATGTCTGGTGATGCGACATCGCGAGGGGGGTGCCGCGTATTGATTCCACTTTGGCGAACGAATATAGAAGCTGCTGCCGCCCTCACACACACTGTTTCTCGCCAGCAGCGCGTGCCAATTTAGAACATGCAGTCCAAGCAGCAGCAACACGCCAGCGCACCAGCGAGACCGGCGAGAATGCCCGTACCGGCGCCGCCACCGCCGTTGTTGTTACGGTTGTCCTGGTAGTAGCCGCCCTGCGGTGGGGTAGGGACCGCCCTGAGGAGGTCCGTACATCTGGCCGGGCGGGGGGCTGTTGTACATGCCGGGGGGCGGGGGACCGTAGCCACCAGGACCGCCGGGTGGGGGATAGGGGCTGCCCTGGGGACCGGGAGAGCCATAGTATGGCTGGCCGCCCATGTCGGGTCCGTTGGGAGGAGGGTAGTAGCCCTGGTTGGGGTCGTGGCCGGGAGGAGGTGTGGACTGGTAACCACCGTAGGCTTGTTGAGGGGCTTGAGGGCCAGCGCCGGCGCCGTAGGCGGGAGGATGATCTTCGGGTTTGGACATGGTAGTAGAGAGCTTGGGTTCTTTGACGAGGGGTCTGATTCGTACTCAGGGTCGCAGACGAGGTCGAGTGTGATGATCGCCGGTCAAGAGGATGCGCGACTGGATAGATGGTAATCAGGAAGCGGCTCGTTATTTCTTTCCCGGCTGCGCGTATCGCAAGAGAAGGGCGGGGGAGTGGGATGGTCGCTGCGGAATGGGTGATGGGAAAGGGAAGACAAGAACGAGAACGCCCTACCGACCGAAACGGGGGGCGAAGTCGAGTTGGTGAAGGCTAGGCCAAGCCACGGGGACGCGCACGTCCTAACCGGAAATAGACAGGGGTCTCAATGAAGTGAGGAAGCTTCTACTCGGGCAAAGTCCGGCGTCGTGAAAATGCTGAAAAGGTGATGAATACGAAAAAAAGCTTCGAAATGGCCACGACACAATTGCGCGGTCCACTGGGAATGATGGAAAGAGGAATAGGCCAGGAAATTGAAGAAAGAAAGAAAAGAGACACAAAATCGTCGCCGAGTCGATGCATTCATCACCATGACCATCACCATGCGCAAGCCCGACTCAGCCCCGAGAACGCCCAAACTCAGAACGTCTCAGCACGTGGAGTCTTGGGCAGGTCGGGTAGGCAGCCTACAGACCACCAGAACCTAGATACCTTCCGAGGGAGGAAAGCGCAAGGCAGCCGCCAATCGAATGGTCCGTGCACCTCCTCCCCACGGCCTGTTCCTGCCGTCCTGACGAGGGAGCTGAGCTATTGATGCCGATTATGCTTCCCTTTTCCAAGGGGCCAAAGGACCGGACCTCGTGTAGGGAGCTGTCACATCATCACCGAAAGGCACCCAGAACGTGATCACGACGCATCTCGGGGGAAACAAGCTGCCTGCTTGCCTTGATGCAAGTCAATGAAACAGAGCTGAGAATTCGTCATGAAATTGGCGGTTGACCAGTTTGGATCTGTAGTGTTCCAACATACTTACGACGTGACTTCCTCTCGCTAATCCTTGTCGGAAGTATCATCCTACTCGTTCCTTCTCGGTGCTGGCCCGCTCTCGTTAGCCCGCTCTTGCGCCGCTTTCCAGGCCGCCTGGAAACCTTCGCCTCTCATATTGATCAGCAACCTCTCGTCCTCTTTGCCACTCTTCACGACCGGCGAAGGACTCTTGTCATCACCGCCCTCAACTGGTCGGCGCACCCTCAGCACCCAATAGCTCGTTCTGTCAGTTTCCTCTGCACTCGCCCCCGGTTCCTCTGGCATGGGCGGATGCAAGAAGCATACTGTAGCGATGATCGACTGTGCAGAAGTCGTGTTCGTCCGTCGATCCAGATAATCCACAGTGTATGGCACCTCGGTCATGGTCGGAAGGTCCCGAGGCGACCCTTGAGCCAGGAGATACATGACTAAGCTGTCGTGATCGTGGGTGAAGGCCTGCACAGCTGCTGTCCGGCTCTTGTCGTCACGGAGCCCCACGTCCGCACCGCGCTGGACGAGCACCCTGGCAACATACATGTACCCACGCTGGGCCGCCCGATGGAGCGGCGTCTGTCCACGCGCCGACCGGGCATTGACGCAGGCTCCGGCGTCGATAAGGAGACTCACGACGTCCTCGCTGCCAGAGTCGGCAGCTCGGAACAGCAATGTGTCCAGGTACTCCTGCGTTCTGAGGTCTTCGGGAGTCTGCTCAAACGCTTCCGCGAACAGCCTTGACCAGTTTCCCGAGCAGGCGTGTACCAGGAAATGGAAGGCAATGGGCATGGCGTGGCGTACCAGCATCCTTCCGCCCCTGTCAGCAAGGAACTTGGCTGTACGAAGCCGTGCGACCCAGAGACCTTCCCAATGTCTGCTTGTGCGGGGGACATTTGTGCTGTAAGTGTCCGTATCGTAGCAAAAGTCCAGTGGCGACATGAGCTTCCCGTCCTCCGTATGTGCAAGGACGTTGATTTTCGCGCCTCGGTTGACGAGGGCCACAGCCACATCGTAGTTGCCATGAATGGCGGCTGTGTGTAGCGCCGTGTCACCGTAGTTGAGGCCCCGCATATCCAGCGCCTCGCTGGAGTGGAAATGGTTGAGAAGGTAATTGAACAAGATTGTGTTCCCCCATCTCGCGGCATATGTAAGCGCTGTCAAGCCTAGTTCTTTACAGACAACGAAGTCCGGCTTGCGGTCGTGAAAGGGATGTTGCGGCTCAAGTAGATATCGGAGTCCAGCCAGAGATGTATCCTCGTTTACCAAGATTAGAAGGTGGAGGATGTTGACTTTGACCGATGCTGTTCCAGACGCGTTGACTTGAGCAGTCTCGAAGTTCGGGTCTGCCCCTCTTGCCAAAAGCTCCGTCGCGAACTCAAAGGCGCCACCAAGGACTGCCAGCATAAAAGGGGGTAACATTACGGTACGATGTTACTCCATGCACATCTGGAATGTCGACTGACGCCGGATTGATTAAATCCAATAATCTCGAAAATATCCCAACCTCAGCACGGTGAGAGCTGGGGTATGTGAAGAGGAGAGGAGTCAGATCTGGCAAGGGGCCATTTCCCTCATCGGCAGCCATCCCGTCCAGCAGGATCGACGCCGCATCTGGGCTGATGTGAGAGGCCTCATCAATGAACATCGCGGCAAGATCCCATGACGAGACGGGCCTCATTCTGCAGCTCTGATACCACAACAGGTCGTCTACCATCGGTCCTCCACTCTGAAGGGCTTTGCGAAGTGGTCCAAGTACGTCGTTTTCGAGAAGCTTGGCTCTCTTTAGTTCCACCAAGGTGAGTTTGAGCGCATCCCCATAACAGTGGCCATGCCTCATCATGTGGTAATGGCGCGGGAAGCAGCACATGGCGAAAGAGACCCAGTCCTCTGTAATTATATCAAGAGAGCCACCTATATTTTTACTCCGGGTAGGCCCGACAATCCGCGATGTGATGGGATGTTGAGCGTGCTGAGAAAAGAGCCTGATGGTTCGCCAGGCGTTGTACCCCACAGCAAGATCAAAGGGACTCATGTATGTGCCGGGAGTGGTAGCGCAAGCTCCGTTCTTGAGCAAGGCTGAGATGACATCGTCCCTGCCTTCAACAACAGCCCAGAATAGGGGTGTGCCCTCGTACTGCTCCTGTCTGTAGACTTGGCCATCGCTGACATCTGTTCGCTTGGCAACGGCCTCGAGATCTGCGCCTTTACTAACCATGACGGAGATGAGTTCTTGCAGTAATCCTTGGTCATCGACATGGATAGTCCAATGACAGGCCCTCTGTCCCAGATTGTTCGAAGCGTTAGGATCAGCTCCGTAACGAAGTAGTGCCAGTGCCAGGTGTGCATGCCCTGTGCGCATCGCCATCAGCAGCGGCGTGTTTCCATCAGCATCCTTCGCGTTTACATCAGGTTTCTCCAAGTCAAGAAATGCCTCGAAACCATCTCTGTCCACACCATACGCGCTGGCGAAATGCAGAATGCTTCCCTTCTTCCGGTTGAGGTATGTTCTTGATCGCTGGTCCTGAAACTTTGTTTTCTGACCCGGAGAAAGGCCCTCCTGCCAGCGCGGATGGATGACAGCTTCGAGAACCTCCTTGTCAAGTCTCATGGAAACCGCGTCCATGCCTTCTGGGAGAAAGCGACCCTTGAAGGTTTCCGTGAAAACGCGAGCAGCCTCTACATCAAGCTCGCACAGACTTTTTCTGGCACTGCTGGAGCCCATGGCAGTCGCGGCGGCCAAGAAGCCTCGCAAACGACTGGCTAGTTCTGGATCCTGCTCAAGCTTGGATCGTGCAGTGGCACAGAAAATGCGATAGATCACACCACGCGCGGCCTCTGACCCCAGCGTGGCCGCCTTCTCAAGCCAGGTCAGGGCCGCAGGAATGCTCCAGTAGCTCGTGAACCCATCTAGGCAGGCCAGTCCTAGTTGGAAGCACATCCCAGCCTTTTCGAGCTGGGCCGCCTGACTCTCGTTGACCGCAGCTGTGAAACTACGGAAAAGACACTGCCGTACCTGTTCTGGCATATCGGTGAGTTTGGTGTATGTATTGATACTCTGCGTCACATCAGCCTATGCGCCCAATTTCTTCGTCCTGTGTAAGTAGATAACAGACCTTGTATTCCTTCAACATCAGAGGTGACTCTTTCGAAGCCGACTCATCCTGGTCTTCGTTTGCACTAGCCATGAGAGGTCAGTATGTAAATTCAAGCATCTTCCGCTAGTAGGATGCCGAGGACTAACCTGTAAAAGTCATCGACTGAAAGGGCTGATAACGCCGCGCCCAGGTCCCGCTGGTGGGTATCGAATCTTAATGTGTATCTGAAGGCTTTGCGCGGGCAGATCACGGACGTGAGGTAGAGCTCGAATTGCTCCAGCTCAGTCGAAATCTCCACGGCATGTCGAAAAAACTCGTAGTGGTCGGCGACAGACTTGACAGCATCGCTCTCGGTCACATCGCGCGTTTTTCGATCTTCTATTTCGTTGGCGGACAGGCCAGAAAAGGGGTTCCTACCTTCGAGGCACAACGTCCAGACCAGGAGGCCAAACGAGTAGATGTCGGCAGCATGCTGCTCCCAAGGCTCAATACTCTTGCGCCACTCCGGGGCAGTCCAGGGAGGGGTACCGCCTCTGTACTGGTAACCGCCCTCCAGAAGCTGGACGGCAGATCCGAAGTCTGCTAGCTTCGCTACGACGCCGCCATCCGGATGGTCGAAAACCAGAGCGTTGTCCAGCTTGAGGTCTCCGTGGACAATTCCCGACTTGTGCAGCGCGTCAAGTCCTTCCCCTAGACCTTTTCCCAGCCGAAGTCGCTCTGCCGGCGAGGTTGCGTTATCGCACAGGTAGTCTCGCAAGGTGCCATGGGATGCAAACTCGAGTAGTAGCACCGGTACAATCTGATTGCGTTCTTCGACGGCACTCATCCTTGCCCACGAGAAGCCCAGTAGATCTACAACGTTGGGATGATCAAGAATCGGCTGGTGCGAGAGCGCTTGGATCTCCAGCTTGATGGCCTCGATGTTCTTGCGTGAAATGCCGCCGCCTTTCCGTGCAGGGTCGAGCCTGGGATACTTGGCCACTATCTGCCTGTTGTGTCCGGGCTGATCTAGCTTGCGTACTTGAAAGAAGGCCCCCGTGTCGATGGGATGGCTGTTGACGCCATTGAACATGCCCGCTGTTGCATAGCTGATCTTTGAGGATCCCGGTAGAAGCTTGATGCTGTTGATGAGTTCGAGGAGCTCGGCGAGATCATCCTCAGAGCTCTGTCTGTCACTTTCTTCGGGAGGCGTAGTGTCAATTTCGCGTTCCTCTGAGGAAAAGAAGTCGTCCTCTACAACGTCCTGTATCGCGAATTTCGAGCTGAACAAATCATCCAGGAAAGCAACCTGAGCTTCTTGCACATCCTCCATGGTTAATGGAGGCTCAGGTCGAAAGTTGCTGTAGTTGTTGCTCCTGATAGAGTTCACACATTGGATTCCGAGTCGGCTCAGCAATAGTCATGACAATGAATACAGACTTCATCGATGGTCTTTGAACGACAAACAAAGACACCCTTGCAGCAGGCGATAATTGACGCGGAAACAGATCGCGTCTCAAACGGGGGGGCGCCGAGTATCCGAGCGAGTCCTCAGCTGAATGATCACACGGGCGATGAGTGCAACGACGGGGGAGTATTGGACGCCACCAGTATCAGCACTCATGCAATACAACGCCTGCCCAATGTGATGGGTTTTCAGCTTCGGGACCATCAACGTAGCCTTGCAGTCACGTCTCTGGATGCATTTTCAAAGTGGAAAATGTGCTCCATAGCTTGATACGATGCGACTTTTCCTAAGATGCATCGTGGTGCATGTTCTTTCTGTGAAATAGCTCACTCAATTGAATCCCTGAGCATCACGATTCACTCTTGATAATGTCACAATCCAGTTTCTTCGCGACGATTTTTGAGGCTGCAGCCAATGGAGATATCGACATGGTCAAAAACTGGATCGACCCACGCCGAAGAGAGCTACGACGAGACAAAGATGGCAATACAGCTTTACATTTCGCCTCAAGACACGGCCACAATGTTATCGTGGAATTGCTCTTACGATCCGGATCAAGCCCGCACTCAAAGAATTCCAAAGGGGAGACCGCCCTGCATGAGGCGGCCAAGTCAGACTCCGTGAGCGTTGCCATAATGCTTGTGACGGCTGGTGTGTCCCCCGAAGTCGAGTCGAACGAAAAACAGACGGGTTTGGACGTGGCAGTAGCCTTTGGCAGCGTCATGACAGCTGCGTATCTTGTCGGGGCCTCTTCGACTGGAACCATCTGGGCGGGCTTCAGGAAAGCCTTGCGATATGATGATCAGGCTGAAATGATGGAGGTCTTCGAGGACTCGATCGAGTTTTTGCTGGACGATGAAACTCGCGCAGGCAACTTCCTGCTGGTATCCGCATACCAGGGCGACGAGAAGGCAGCTCGGTATCTGCTCGACCATGGCGTGAGCCCCAACGATGCAATTGACCACAACGGCGCCACGCCACTGCATCTCGCCGCGTCTTCGGACATGTCAATATCGCCAAGGACCTACTTTGACGCCGGCGCCGAAGTGAACGTGAAAGACTTGATGGGCGGCGGCACGCCGCTCTTCGCGGCAATCCAAGGCCAGAAACTAGAGGTGGTCAAGGTTCTGCTCGATGCTGGCGCCACCACAGACATCGTCCTCCGTCAGAGGAGGCTTCGGCGAGATTTGGTTCACATAACAGCACAGGATGAGAGCCCAGAGATCCTGCAGTTCCTTTTCGACCTCGGGATGGACCCGAACACTCGGGATGAGGCGGGCGCCACGGCCGCAATGCACTCTGCCGGCAACGGTCACCTCGAGACCTTGAAGGTGCTGCGTGCCGGGGGTTGTGACATATTCGCAGCATCAGAGGATGGAACGACACCTCTCATTCGTGCTGCTCTCGGCGGTCACACAAATGTCATATCCTGGCTCCTGGACCAAGGAGCAGACATACACGCCAGCGACGTTTACGAAGCGACGAGCCTGAAGGCTGCCATCCAGGGACGACATGTTGAAAGCGTCCAACTTCTATGCTCTCGTGGAGCCGAGGTGACCACCAGTCGCCTCAGAGAAGCCATCAGCCGTGGCAGCGCCGAGATCGTTAGCATCCTCGTCTCTCACGGTGCAAAGCTTTCTGGGACCCAACAGGATTGCGAGATTCTAGAGATGGTTGTGGGAACAAACAACGCCTCTCTTACGAGAGAGCTGGTGAAGCTCGGTCAATCCATTGACAAGCTCAATCCGAAGGACAAACTGGAGTTTCTCTTGGAAGTAACTCGTAAAGAATACGTAGACTGCGTCGAGGCGTTCCTGGAACAATGCGAGGACAGGAGCTTGTCAAATGAGGTCAGCCGTGTGACCCCTATCCACCTCGCTGCTGAGGTAGGCAACGTTACAATCTTCAATATGTTGGCCGAAGGGGGTTTCTCGCTACACAAAAGTACCCAGTACGGCCAGACCCCTCTTCACCTAGCCGCGCTGCAGGGACGCGCCGAGATCATCAGGGAGCTCCGTGGAGTCATCAGCACCGAGAACCAGGACCGCAACGGGAACACGCCGCTTCACTGGGCCTCATCCAAAGGCCCCGAGATGGCAGTAAAAGAGCTGCTGAGGCAAGGGGCAAGCGTGCGCGCAAAGAACGATTATGGCATCACTCCGCTGCATCTGGCTTGCAGTGAAAAACACGTCACCGTCGCGCAGGCCTTGCTCGACGCCGGGGCGTCGCCTTCAACAATGTCCCTCAGTATGACCAATGCCTTGCACGTAGCGGTCCAGACGTCTGAAGACATCGTGCGGAAGCTTCTGGAAACAGGGAGGTGTGACATTAATACTATTCAGGCTTGTGGGAAAACGGCGCTTTTGCTGGCATCAAGCAAGTCCATCGCCGCGATGCTGCTATATCATGGCGCGGACGTTTCGGCATCGTCTTCGGACGGGTACAACGCGCTGTGCACGGCAGCGTTGGCTGGGAAGACGGAGTTGTTCGAGTATCTGTTCCCCAAGTTCGAAGAATGGCTCGTTCATGACGCGAACCAGATTACACTGTGGCGCCTGATATGCCGAGGAGGAAGCACGGATATCCTTAAGTTTCTGGAAACGACTCAGGTAGGTTTAAGAGATCTTGATTCGGAAGACCTACTATCTTTGCTGGCGGAAGCTTCTTCAAACCCCGAAGATTATGTACTGTCGAATGTCATCGAGGCTCTTCTCGACGTCGAGATGCTACAGGATCTCAATCTTGCTTCCCGGATTCTTCTGCTTGCTGTTGAGGCCGAATGCGTCGAGTCGACCAGGATTCTTGCGTCTCTAAAGGGGATACATGACGTGGCTTTCGTTGGTGGGCGGAGTCCTCTGGATAGAGCTAAGAAGGGCGACAACAGCGCTCTCGTTGAAGCGCTCATAGAAACAGGGGCAGAAGGAGGACTTTCGAAGGCCAACGAACCATGAAAATACGTAAATTGTCTCGCACAAAAGACAATTTATTACTTTATCTACTGTACGCCCCCTAATTCTCGCACGACCTTCCAGAAGAAGACCTCATGTGTTTCCGAAGAATCATCATCATCATCGCCCTCTGCCTCCTTCCACATGTCGTCTTCGTCCAAACATTGCAACACGGCTCGCTGATACGCCTTGCCCATGAAGTGTGCCAGGTGACTCTCGCAGGCATTTCTGATGGTCCTCCTGAAGTCTTGTGCGTCTTGATTGTCCTTCTTGAAGTAGAATATGCTCTGCCATATGCCAATCTCGAACAAAACGAGACCCAGGGAGTAGATATCATGGCGTTTCTTGTACCGCTTGTGTGCGTCAGCACGGGAGTCTCCGGTTGTTGATAGAGATCAAAATGACTGCCAAGCTGGCGGGACGTCGATGGTTTCGGAAGTTTTGTCTGACGTTCGGCCCAGACCAAATCCTACAAGG